GAAAAAAAAACCCAACCCTTCACACTACAGTGGTTTTAAGAACTGCCTAATGCAGGATAGACCTGTCTGTCATGATATGGGGGTAACTTATTTTAAAAAATGAAAGCAGAAGTCATAGTCTCAGGGAATTGGATAGAGCTGGTGTAAACTGAGCCATGGTTTCTCTGAAAGGCTGAAGTGATCCATACCATACAACAGAAGAGACAGCTTAGAATCTGCATTGCAGGTACTGATGCCCACAGCCTTGGGATGCATGGGATATGGCTAGTAGAAAGAAATACAAGTTTTGAACTCCCTCTCTTGCCTATAAATTGTACTGTCAAGTGAACTCTTGGTCCTCGGTGTGTGTCTGTTCGAATGGTGGTAAAGTGGCTTCGATTGCAGCCAGTTAAATCTTAGAATGGGGGGAAAAAGAGTAATGGAGCAGCCGAGGGCACAGTCCCCAGTTTAGGAAGGTGTCTGCAAAATCCAGGGGTTGTGGCACAGGGATGCAGAAGTCAAAGAAGGACCCGGTGAATAGCACAGACTGCTTTTCCATCAAATGCTCGTAGTGTTGTTATCAGCAAGGGCAGCTTCTACGCCCTGTATTGTATTTTGTCCTTGTACCATAATTGCAGAGGACTTTATTCACCAAGTCCTTGACCTTCTGTTGAGTGTGAGCACTCTAAGTGTCTAAATACAGCACTGCTTTGGTAGTGAATATATCAAATTTGGTCTGAGAGCGAGTGTAAGAAAGACCTTCCTGATGCTACTGTCTTGTCCAAGGTCAACTTCATAGATTTGGGTGTGATTTTTTTCATCACCAAAGTGATAATTTAAAAACTCCAAAACTCTTCTTTGGTATGGGCTCATAATTCTACCTTGTAATAAGATAATATTAAAAAAAAAAGTAATACACTGTGTTAGAGGTGACCTCTTTATCTGTGAAACTACTTGTGCTTTAGAGTTTTGTGGGTAAATAATTCATGCTCATTACAAAAATAACTGTGCTGTTATAAAGGTGTGTACTGAGAAGGTGGCAGGTTTAGCCAGAATCTTCTTCTGGTTCCTTGCACATGTGCAAATCTAATCACACTTGCACCTATGCACACCTGAGTAGTTCCAAGAGGGCTGGTAGAGATGCCCTGGGTGATCCCTGTAGCAAAGGACAGCTGAATTAATTTACAAAACTGTGGATTTTTATTTTGTGTAAGTGAATTAAGTAAAATCAGTTCTACAACTACTTATCTTGGATGTCTATAATAAGCCAGAAAAGTTAGCACTAAAATGTCACATTTAAGTGGGTGAGTGTTGGTGTATTGGCTTTTTAACCACCTTGTTAATAATTTCTATTACTGATAGAGAAATAGTTTGACCAGGGACTCATTTTAACTCAGAGTATTTATTGGAGTATTAGTAAAGATTCTGATATTAGAGAAGTTTTACAAAATCTGTTATATTTATTCTTAAAATACTCCTTTCTAATAGTTTGTTAAAACATTTCAATCCCAATTACACACCAGCTGTCTTGAGGGAAGTTAATGATTCCAATGAAAACAAAGGAAGAAAACTGTATTTCAGATTGTTTGTCTTCTGCAGTGTAAAACATTCTTTAACGGATTATTTTCTCTGCTTATATTTACATAGTTAGAAATAAAGAATTTTAACTTCAGGTTGTTTTTCATTTCCTGGTAAATGTTGGCTACAGCATTTGCTAATTTTCTGTTTCAATACATAATCATCCTGAATGAACACGAGGTGAACAAGGAAAGCTGAAACTGAAAGTTAAGTTTAATTATCGCGTGATAGATCACACTCACATTGCTGTGAAATTGTTGCAAACGGCATCACCAGCATATGACTGATCTTTTTGTTAAACCTTTGTCTTTGAAAGCCCTGCTCCCTCAATAAGGAAAAAAAAAAGAATTGAGAAGTGGGGAAAAAAAGATGAGAGAGAAACCTGGGGCATGTAATTTCCCAGTGCTGTTTGTGAGCATCTGGTTGTTGCTACAGCCCATCAGGCTTTTGGTTCTGCTTAGGGAACTCATTCTACCTGTCAGCAAATGTCCAAGATGCAGAGCAACTCCTCCCTCGCCTTTTTACTGCTCTCTGCTTAAGTGGGACAGAAAATCTAGAGGCCTTTCATGGATCCCCCCAGTACTGTAACACAGGGGTCACAGCTTTCTCCTGCCTCGCTCCCTTGGGCAGGGCAGCAGGGAGGGAGAAACCTCTCCAGTAGGCTTAGCACAGGCTGCCCAGTAATCCAGCATCTGCGGACCTTTGTGCTTTTATTGACATGCAAGTACTTTAAATCAATGTTATTTCATCCACAGGTTCTTCAAGAGCAATCCACTGTGATTGTCTTCCAAGTGCTGGATCAGTTACTGGGGTTTACATATGAGATACTCAGTGGTGCATCTGGTCTGTGGTGGGAGCAGTGTGACTTTTCAGATCAGGTTTCCGGAGGATCACAGGAATAAATTCAGAATTTGTTCCTGCAAATAATCTCCAGTGCCTGCTTGCAATTTGCTGGTTCCACAAAAATTTTGGCAGTGAACGTGTTTGCTTGGATTCTCACAATTGTTTTGGTAAGCATATTCTTTCCCTTGACAGGCCCCTCTTGGCAAATATTTTAAATTCCCATCTTTCTCTTTTTACATTTTAGCTTTTCTCAGGATTTTTAGCTGCAACTCTCTATTCTTTCTAGTAGTGTATATACTTGTCAGTACGTGATGCAGAATTCCTAGGGTTTACACAGAATTCCTCCTCTTCCTTCAGGATATAGAGGAGTTTGTGGCTAACTGTAATGAGGAAAGTAGTAAAAAAAAGCCTAGACGAAAATAAGCGAAAGTCAGGCTGATTATAACTAAGTGGGAAGTTAAATTTTTGTAGAAACTGAAATTCAAAACTTTCAAAATTATTTTGTTGTTAAGTCCTAAATCAGGGTTACAAAAAAAATACATGTTTTATTTCAATAGTGAAATATTTTAATACTAAACTTTGGTAACATGGAAGCATTCATGCATTATGAATGTTTTAAGGTTTCAAAAATTATTTTTGATCTCTTCAGTTCTTGGACCCTGGAATCTCATCTATTTTGCCAGTCATCTGCAAGGAGCTAGTTACCACCAGAACCTTCATAAGTTCAGTATATGTCTGGAGAACCAGCTGGATAAATCAGGGCCACAACTACTACTGAACTTGCTGGGATTCCAACTATATGATCTCTGTATACAGTGTCAGTGGAAAACTGTTTAATCCTGAAAGTTATAATCAATGTGAGCCAAGAGTTTGGTGCAGAAGCTATGATTAAGAAGTAGACAAGAGGGCAACTGGAAGGAATAGAGCTAAGAAAAAGAACCAGGCAAATATAGGCTGATATAGGTACCTGAAGAGATGGGCCAAGAGTCACAACATGGATGTGTGGAGTGGAAGGGTAACTAAAGGTCATAAGATGAGTCATAGAGGGTCGGTGGCACACATGGAAACGGGAGCGCATGATCACTTTTGTATAGATCAGTATCTTGTGCGTCCATTGATTTTAGGCAGAGGGTGTTTTACTGCATGAGTAAGCAGCTGGGGATGAAAGTATGATCTAATCTATTGACATAACTTTTGGAAAAATAAAAGGTAAATAAAATAATTTGAATTTTGCTGAGATATTAGTGTGGTCCAATTCCGATTTTGTTTCTGATCTTGCCTACATTGTATTTAAATAGCTTGTGTGAGGATAAAGAAAGGGATGATAAGGAAGTGTAAGGAAGAGATGAACAGGGATGGAAAGCTTGTAAAATTTTATTTAAAATGTTATTCCTTCAGTTTATTTCACTAAAAAGAAAAAAGGAAACTTGGAGGGAACTGCAAACAAGATTTTACCATAGAGGAGCAGATTAAATGAAAAAAATCAGCTAGTTCTAGCTGCTGCTTTTCTTCTACATATAAAATGACGGTTAGTATTTGTGACATAGTTCAGACCATATTTGTGAGGCTCTTATAAAAATACTTAAATGTAATTATTTTTTACTAAAAAAGAAAAAGAAAATAAAATGGCAACTATAGAAGTATTTTCCTAGTTCTTTTACTAGTTTTGTTGTGCAGCTTTGAGCAAATCAGTGAAATTACTAGTGCCTCAGTTTCCCCTTATTGATAGAGACGTAGAAAATTAATCCCTTGGAGTGCCATGTGATTTAAATCAGTATTTTAAAAGGTCATGCTTCTTTAGACAGAAATACAATCTGTTATTTTAATAAATGGATTTTAGCTTTCCTTCAAAAATTTCTGTCCCCAACCCGTTTTATTTTTCTTAAGCCTTTGAATTATGAACACTTGTTCTGGCTCTGATTCTCTAAGCGTGCAGATTGCTAAGCGCAGTAATCCCTTTTATCTGTTTGCTGAAGCACATTGACTTGTTTCCACTTGTTCCTAGCTGGCTGGTGTTAGGACCCAGAAAAGAAACAGCAGCAACGTGATATAAATAGAGTACCAGAATGGGACAAAGTTTGAGAAGAAAGCATGACATCACTCCGACTTGCTCTCCACCCAAAAAGATCTGGGATGGAGGTGCAAACGTGAGCTGTACAAGCGAGGAGTGTGCAACTCTTTTCAGCTCAGTTTCTGAGGAAATTGTGACAGTTCTATGCTCTGTGTGCTGTAAGGAAGTACATTTTCTTGCTAGCAAAACTAGAACTGGCTTCAGATCTCTGACAACATGAAAGTAATTGAAAGGAAAAGACAACCATAGGAGGAAAGTTGAAAACAAGATCTTTTCTTTTTGGCACAGTTTGTAACAGAATTTTTTACTTCTTTCCATGGAGCAGTACAACTTTTGGATCTGATGCACATTTTAATTTTACTCCAATCACAGTAATTTATTTATAGTTAAATGAAGAGATCAAAGTGTGAAGCAAGCAAATACTACTTAAAGGATCTGGAAGGATATTTTGACATCACTGAAGGAACAGACTTTTTGAACCTGCATGGAAAATGTCCCTTTCAATACAAAAAGTAGCAAAGAAAAACTTATGATTGAAATCTTACAGGAATTTTATTTCAGTTGTACTTTTAACCTTAAATAGACCATGGAGAATTTATTATCTCTGCTCTCTTGTCATTATTCGTTGCTGATTTTATTTCAGTACAAATATCAGGTAATGTTCTGAATATGGTCAGTACGGAGTTATACTTGGATTCCTCTTAGCAAGTTTTGCCTCACTGTGTCTCATGTTTTATGTGCAGGTGTATGGAAACTATTCCCAGCTACCCAAACATCCAGGTAAGGAATGTTCTATTTACATTTTATGACAATGTGCTTAAATATTTATTTGCTTTTTCAGTTTATATTGTTAGTTTTCTTAGTAGCTCCAAAGAAACTGTGATCCTACGTTTGAATGTTAGCTCTGTACTAAAAATGTAATAAAGTCTAAAGTAGCAGACTGTCACAGTCACTTTAAATTCAGTAACCTACCTACTAAATACTCTGCATAGAAATATATTTGGAGAAAAAAGGCTTATATTTGATATGTAGAAAAATCCTATATACACTGTTTGTTTATTATTACTTTTTTTTGGCATGAGTTTCTGAGTCAGACCTCTCCACAGACTATTTTCTTTCCTTGCCCTCAATGTATTACTGTTCAGTGTTTTCAATTCAATGATTTACAGTTAGATATGCCAGCTTGTATACTTTGCAGTACTTTGGCATGGCTTCAAGTCATCTGCTCTCCTCCCAGCCTTCATGCTTAAGTTTAAATCGATTATAGAGCATATTAAGGATCTTTCATCTCTTTTCAATGTAGAAAAAAACTTACTCAAAGCTCATTTGGGGTCTGCGTGTGTAACTGCAGAATTCTGTGGTTTATATAAATAGTTTAACCTCAAGCCTCATGGTGGTGTACAAGTACAATTTTACTGCTTTACCAATTCATGTATTGCTTTGAGCTTTTTAGTTTTAACCATATGTAATTATTTTTTAAATAAAATACAGAGCAATGTGGAAAAGCCATGCCTGCTATTGCAGGAGCTTCAGCCTGATTAGTTTCTTTTGTTCTACCTTCACTCAAAAACCAAAGAAATACAGTCTCATTTCCTATAGATGAGGATTGCTGGCTTCTAGCTCATGGAACAATAGGGGGGAAAAAAAGCCTCCTGTAATAAGGGGACAAGTTACACAACATTTATTTTGTAGTACAGTATGTGTGTGTGTGTGTGTGTGTGTGCAAGCATAACCCCGAGCGATGCTTTTGGGATATGAAAGAGACTGTAAACAAGTCCTGTGGTTTTGTTCCAAATACAACGTAGTTACCTATTGGAAGGGATGATTCTATGATTCTGTTGCAAGTATACGTTGAATTCAAGGCAATGGGTATTTGTTCTCAGAGGTCTTCTCAGGGCTGATTGGCTGGAAGTGCAGTAACAGCATGGCTTTATATAGTTCAGAACTGGGAGCTGGGAAAGCCACCGATGTGCGGTGTAGCTCTAGGCATTTCACTTTGCTGTATATATATTTCCCTTCCCTTCCCCCTCCCCCTCCTTTTTTTTCCCCCAGCTTTTAAATGTAAGCTTCTTACAACATATCTTCTCCTTACAAGTTTGATGCTCAGTTTTAGTTGAGTTTGGGTTGCTTGGAGTTTTCAGACTGGGTTTTGCACATGCTTATTCTGTGTCGTTATTCTTTTACGTTGGCAGTAGCTTTCTCCTTTTTGTGCCTTTGTATCTTCCAAGTGTTCAAAGGAAATGCATAGCCGTAGAATCTCATTCATTTCTCCAAAGACATCCTCATCTTATCTATTTATGCTTGTGCTCCCTCTCTGTAGGAAAACCCCTATGACAATTCCAAACATTTCTAGTTAGGTAGGCCAATAATATACCCTGATTGATTATGAATCATTTGTTAGATATCTTTGATATAGTTCAGTTTGGAAGCTAGTCTGAGTAGTTGGTGTGTCCTCACAAGATGCAGCGCTTCTTTTAATTCTGTGCTCTCAGATCTACAGTTGCTTGTGATGTTTAGCAATTTAATCAGCTTTGCACTCTTATTAAAACAAATCTTGGGATTCTCTCTGTGTCACTGCTCTGAAACTGTACCATGAGGACAGAGGACACCAAACTGGTCTTCACTGTGTGGGCTAAGCAGTTTAAGCATGCAAATAACATACTTGTACTTTCATATCCATGATAAAGAAATCCTGTTTCTATCTAGGACGTTAAAATGATAGAATAATTATAAAATAGGCAAGCTGTTTTGATCTCAAGAGTGAAGGAAGGTCTGGGATAGACTGTAAATGTCAAGGGACACTGCTTGTGATTTGTTTTAACTTGCACACTAGGCACAGGGAATTTTGTATTGTGTATGGCAGCTGAAGTGGTTTGTAGCAAATTTATCTCTATCAGCTTCACACCTCAGGTTCTTGAAAGATTGCTTGGAAATGAAAAATGTAGAGCAAAGAAATACAGATACGGTGTAATATAAATACTCTCTCTGTCCCTGTTGTCTGTTGTGTCATTCCACCTTCCACCCAAAGAAAAGATTAACTCAAACTAATACAATGATATATCATGAGCAAAACATGTTCTCATTTGCATTCACAGTAAAATTTCATGATGTCTATATCAACCTTCTAAAACTTAGTTAGATGTAAGAGATTATACATTAATTTCAGCACAGCTGGATAAATTATTTTGAGAGTACAGTGTTTCTTGCTGCTAACAAGATAATAAGAAATTGCAATTCATGTTTTCCTACGTTATTAATACTCTATCCTTAAAACAGAATTGTTAACACAATTTTATTGTTCTGGACAGCCTGCTTCTAGTCAAGTTTGAGTAGTCATATCTCATAAAATCTGTTCAAACTGCTCAATTAGACTGTGCAGATAAATCTGCCAATGGAAACCAGTAGATTTTTTGCTTTTTTCAGCTTGTCCACCTGTTGCTAAGGAGGACATTTATGAAAACAAAATGTTCGTATCAGCCTTGAGGAGTTGTTCTGATTTTGGTGTAGTGGATAAGGTTCTGAAGGAACAGCTAATACTGTATGGGGAGGAGTGAACTATTTTTTGTATGTTGCTTAATATTCTGGAACCCCTTTTCTTGGGAAACAAAATTCCTTCTGTTAAAGCTACTTCTCCTATGTGACTCTGTTAAGGTGAGTTATCTGGAGCCATCAGGAAGGCTTGACTCTGCAGTAACAACTGTGCAGCCACCTATACTCTTATGCCCGTTGCAGCTCCTCCACCATTGAGTACTGCTCCATCCTCTGTCTGACTATGTCTCTCCATAGAAGACCAAAGGTGAAAAAATCCGTAGATTAATATAACCTGAAGGTGTTGCACTGGTTTTCCAGTGGGTTTTGGAGAGAGGATAAGATTCCTGGGAACTCTCTAGCATCATCTTCTACTACCTTGAAGTGGAGAGCTGTTACCTACGGAGGAGGCAGGAGCAGAAGTAATATGCTAGAGACGCTAATAATTTCCCTGTGCCTTCCCTTCTTGGTGCTTCGTACAATCCACTATGTGTTTAAAATTTTATGAAATCTTGAAATTACTCTTGAATGACTCCTGAAGTGTTACTTCAACGAGTGCTGCCTGATACACTAGCAGAGATTGTCAGAGATTGTTACATGTTCTAAGTGCAATTAAAATAAAAATCAGTTGCGTTTTAAAAACAGATTTTCTGCAGTGGTCAATCAGATATATGGATTTAATCTACTTTGCCATTTTGATTTATGATCTCACTTACATGCTGTGTTTGATTTACATAAAATATCTTAACCTACTGACCTCCTTTATTGTTCTCTTCTGTGGAGACTTATTACACTCCTTGTTGGTCCTTAATTTAATAACCTTTTCATCTGTGTTTCTTGAAAGGGTTCAAAGTTCTCGCATCAGCTTCCCATTACTGGCCATTGGAAGATGTGGATGGAATTCACGAGTTTCGGGATACGAATGGAGGTAGACAAAGGATTCCTTGACAATGGCAATGACATAAGTATTTGTGGCAGTCTGTAAGTAGAAAGGGAGCAGGAGAAATGACAGGGATTAGCTTTTGTGCCACAGCAGCTGAGATTTTTCTCAGTTAATGTTTTGCAGTGCTCCAATGTCCAAGTGGTATTGTATTTGTGAACTGATTTTTATAGAGTATTCTCAGACGTTTTATGGGCTGTCTATGCATTGTTAAGGTTGTAAAGAGAAAAGGTTTATGATCCAAAGAGTCATTGAAATCACATTGTTATTAGTTGGTTTGGCACATGCTTAACATGCACTAATACACTCGGTGACTGAGATATACCAGCAGTGAAGATGCCTACTGTTTTTTTGCTTTTTGGAAGGAGTGAAATGCCCAAATTCTTCATGCACTTTTGAAAATTACTTGTAGTATCTATAGAAAAAGAAGTGTTAGCTCTTATCTGATTGCTCCTTACTCATTTTTATCTGCTTTTTGTATTTCCTTAAAAGCAGTATTGCAGAATTAATTCAATTTTGGTTTTTGGTTTTTTTTTTTTTTTTTTTTTTTTTTTTTTTTTTTTTTTTTTTTTTTTGTGTTTTTTTTTTTTCTGATTGGGCAAAATCAAGAGAGATTTGATAATTCAAAATTCTCACAAATTCAAATTTGAATTTGCATTTCAAACCAATTCAAAACTCACTGGTTTGAAAGAGTCAGTTGTCAGGACTGAAGGAATGATATTAAAAGGCAGTTTGGTTGGATTCAGCAGTTTTTTCTGGTTCTGATGTTTCATATCGGGACCAAAACGGGTGGTGGGGGCTTCCTGGGAATGTGCAGGTGATGGAATTAATGGAGCTTCAACCAAACCACTGTAACCCATCACAGCACTATGGCCTTGCAGAGCCATTCCTTCCAGATGAAATTTTCAGCTATCCTCTCCTTCCTTCTGAGACTCAAAGGTCTGTTAGTAATTTTCATGTGAACTTTTTTCCCTATTCTGAATTTTAGCAAATTCCAAGTTGAGCTGATGGATATTCCACAGTATTTCTTGCACTATGGCTGACCACCTTGGCAGCTGAGCTAAACTGTGTTGTACTAGTACAAGGGGTAGTTGCTGTGTTACCACTAGTGACTGTGATATCTTTTCCCAGAAAGAACACTGCAGAAGATTAAATCAGGAGTTAGAGATGTTTACAACTTTACATGAAAAATGTTACAAAAGTGCAAAGTTATTGCTATTTATTACACAAAAATGACAATACCAGTCTCTCTTCCTATGTGGGGAAAAAGATGCATAAATATATGAAACCTTTTTTTCCAGAAGTGTTCAAATATGTCACACTTAAACTTTGACCCATCTTTCCACAAAGTTTCTTGAAGGAATGCAATTGACTGACCAGAAATGAATCTGTGCAATATTCTGCTCCCATTAGAGGCTGATGACAGCATTCCTATTGACTTCAATAGAATAATAATTTGTCTTACAAAAAGTTACCATATGAGTTCTCTAACAGTGTGTTAAAGCAATTTTCTGACACTGGACTTCACGTGGTTTCAAGAAGAGGAAAGTGCTCCATATCTAGCACTGTTTTGGCAATCATGTTACAACAAAGTTGTTTTGAAAGTGCTTGAAAGCAATATACAAAATATAGCTCTTGGAAAAATGCCATTGATGTTAGATTGTTTTTCAAGTTATGTTAAATTATGTTATTCCAGCAAAATTCAGAAATCTTTTCAGTAGTATCTTAGATAAAGCAGAACATATAAAGATCCTCATCCTACAAACCTTCACTGACAGGAATGAGAATGGCTCACATGAGCAATTTGACTCCTATTATGAAATTGTGTTAAATAACTTTATAAATGAGCCAGCTGCATGACTTTGCTGAAAAAATTTGGAGGACTTTGTCTCACTATTATTTGCAGAATATGCCAGTAGCCAAAAGGCTTTTTCTCAACAGTGTGATTCTGACGATGTTGAATTCTTTCCTTAATGTTGCAGTGGATAGTTCAAATTCTGCTCAGTTGCTTGTATTGTGTCTTATAATACACAGATATTATTTTGACTGCCTCCAGCAGAGGTTTTATCTATCTCTCTGATATTTGACTTTGATATACAAGAGATGTTTTCTTTATTGTTTTAATCTAATGCAGGTGACAATTTGCTTGGTTTTGATACCATTCTGATTACACAACTCTTCTGTTTATTGCTAGAGTCTTTCTTGTTTTTCCACTCATCATATCATGCAATTATTTTCATTCCATGTTTCTCCTCTTAAATCTTTGAAGCATCATAATCTGTCCATCATGTTAATCCATTTTATTTGTTGAAGTCACTGTGTGTGAAGCCAGATTTATATCTCTCAAAGCATTTGTGTTGTGTAAGAGAGTGTCAGCAAATTAATTTTTGTTTGTCTCAGCAATAGAAGCAATTGAAGACAAAGAGTGAAAAATATAGCAAATAAAAAAGATGTGGCCATGTTCAGGTTTTTCTTCTGACTCCTTATTTTCCATGCATTTTTTACTTGAGGTTTTTGTGTGCATTTTTTTTTTTTAAGAGCATTTGCCTTTCCCTTCTGTGAGCTCAGCTGGACTAAATCTCAAATCAATTTCTCTCTATTTGCTTTCATGGGCTTTGTATCAAGCTCTATTTACTGCCCAGGGTAAATAATTATAGTGCACAAGATACCGTTAAATTATCAAAATAAGGAAAAAAAAATTGTTGCCAGATATAAAGTTGTTTTTTTTAATTACATTTAGATGAAATTTCTTGTATTTTACTTTGTGCCCATTACCTCTTATCTGTTAACTGGATACAACTAAGGAGGATCTGGCACTATCTTTACACCTCCCATCGGGTGTTTATACACATTGATAAGATCCCTGAGCTCTCTCCTCTCCAGGTTGAGCAATCCCAGCATTCTCGGTCTTTCTCTGTATTTATTCTGGTATGTCCATGTCTCTCTTGTTCTGCTGAGTCTGGAACTGGACATGGGACTTGGAATCGCCCATAGCTTTTGCACTAGTATGATTATTTTTGTTTTAATTGCAGAGTTCCTTGCCAGCATGATTTTATTTCAGAGCCCTTCATCTGCAGTTGTATTTTTTCATAGTTTTTTCTTCTCAGTTAGCATAAAGGAAAAAAAAAATGTTTTCATGATACTGCATTTACTTAACTTGTGTAAAGACTGTAACATTCATATGCATACAAGTCCTTGGGAGAAGTAGTTGTATGATAATTTTAAAGGCCACTGACAAACATCTGTGATTTGTGCTATGTTGAGAGATATGAACTGGTCAATTCATTACTGATTGTGTTTATTCATTGTTTTGCTTATTTTCTTTTGTTGTTCCACCCAGCTCTAAGAATCCACAACTTCACTGTGCTTCCTTCCCATAACTCTACCTTTGTATATACCAATGACTCTGCCTACTCTAACTTCTCTGCAACTGTAGGTGAGGATTTACATATTTTTTTGTTCTGCATTTGTCAAGCTTGGATGGTTCTTGTAACATTGGATTCAAAGTTAACACTGATTTGGTTAAAGTGGTCATGTGCTAAAGGTCTATTTATGCTTACATTGGCATACATTGTTGAAAAAGCACTCCTGCAACGTTACCTGAATTTCTCTGAACAACAGGGAGAGGCATCCCCATTCTAAGCAGCCCATGGGAGGGTGGGCCCCAATGGCCCTCCAAAACCTAAAATATTTGTTTTAAGATTTAAAAGAAACAGAAATGACATTTCAGAGGAACATATAAGAACAAATAGGTTGATTTTTTTTTTTTCTTGTCTTTCAAGGTTAAAAGGAAAAAGAAGCTCTCTGTTTTTCACCATTTCATAGTAATTTTTAAAGGACACATTAAGAAAGACAGATGCAAGCAAATTTGCAAAGCCTGGAAGTAAGATCTTGTCAATCACAACATCTTCAATTAACATATTTGGTGTTTTTTGGGTTTTGTTTTTTTTAAAAAACAGGCAAGCAAAAATCTGCATATAGATGTCCTTTTAATGATTTAATATTATTATTATTTTTTTAACATCAACACACCAGGAGACAAAAGAAAGAACAGACAATTACAACTCTCCAGGCAGAAACCTGACAGCTTGGAAACTAGTTACATCTACACCAGCATAAGCTTAAAGTAATTTAATTTAAGACACTGGGATTTAGATTTCTGTAGGTACAATTGAAATATGACCTCTTGTGCACTTTACAATTAAGTTTTAACTCACATTTAATTATTGGAATATCTGACCTAAGGAGAAGAATGGAAAAGGTATAGCTGTCACTTGGGCTGCTCAGATACTAGGAGAGTTATATTATAATATTTAAACCACTGTTGTTCTACTCTAACAGTAAAATATGCTGGCAAATGTGAACTCTTAATAATGAACTTCAAATGACCCTAATTCCTTTCAGTCCTTTCTTATCTGCTTTATAGACCATTTGCATAATTTTCACATAATAAGATAAATTCAATATGAACATTAATAAGAGTGACACCTATGGCAAAGGAAATGCTATAGAAACAGAAATGTGTTATCTTATGGAATTCATTCTGACTAAATTAACTTAAAATTCAAGTGACTCAAGAAGAACTTAGAAATGTTCGATTCACTCCGTAACACATACTCAAATTTTTAAAAGAAACTAAATTTTATCTGTCAATTCAATACAGAACTTGATGAACTCTTCCTTAAAGGGAGGGGAAGATACATGAAAACTGTGATGAGATTTGGGATTACCTAGGAAAATATTTGGACATACGTTCACTGAGGGCTATGCCATGCTATTGCTGTTTCCTTGAGTGGTGTTATTCTACAGATGGGCCAGCACTGTGACTGCTGTCCTCGCACCTGATGGTTGTCTACAGTTTGAAAATGAGATGCCTTCTTGCCCATGTCCCCACTGCATAAAGGGATGCACCATCTTTAAGCAGTAACAACAGTATTTGTGATTATCACTCTAAAAAGATGGATGGTCTGTCCCTAGCACTGACTGTGCATCTTTGGCATGATTTGTGCTGTGGAAAAGGCTTCTGTTAAGTCAAACAGATATACAGTGATAAATACAGAGGAAAGTCCCTTACATCCCACCCTTTACATATTTTAGACAATATATGTGCCTTCCTTGTTTCCCCTTATGGTCTTGTTAGATTTTCAAATATCAGCCAGCAACTACCTGGCAATTTCTGCACCTCAGAGCAGGAAAAGACTGTATTATCATTTCGGGTGTTTCCCTTGGAGCAACTCTTCTCCTAATACTTTTTCAGAAGGAATTATAGAAAAGGATCTTAAAACCAAGGTTCTGAATCTTCACAATCCTTTCAGAAATGCCATCACAAACAATGGTATTAACATGAAATTCCCAACTGAACAATTACATTCTGTCTGCTCAGAAATAGATGATGGCAATATTCTGTGTTCAGGCTTTTTAACACAGTGTAATTTTTTGATTGTGATTTCCTATTGTCTTCATTGCTAAAATTTGTCCTTTTTATCTTGGGACAAATGAGATTAACTTCTCATCATCATCTATCACCTGGACTCTCAGACCGTAGTGAGGTTTCCTATAGGAAACGAGTATCATGCTTTCTTAGTATTAAGAAGGCTCATGTGCTTTAGCTAGGAGGAGATGAATCAACAGTGCTTTTCTTTAGGAGGGATCACAAGAAAATCACAATCACATCACAATACAATTAGTCATTGTCCATGTTAGACAAAGAAATAGCCTTTCCAAATGACAATGGTGCCATACCAAAGGACGTCTGAAAAGGATATATGCTTCTGCCTTTTGAATAAGCTTGTAAAGTACATTTCATTGATTTTTTTTTTAATTAAATGAAAAATGACTTTTGATCACAAAATTTCCCTTTCAAAAAATGAAAAAACCCTATTTAGTTACATTTTTGATTGATTATATAATTTCTTCACTAACTTAGGCTAACAGTAAGACTGTTGTCTATGGTGTGCTGGTATTTAGAACTCTGAAAATCATTAGATATATTCAGATTACTTTGAAATAATTATTTTTGGGTGTATGGGTTCTCTCAAGCAGTTTTAGTTAATCAAGAATCTGTGATGGATATGACTATAATTTTTTCAAACTTGACGTGAGAGAGTTATCTGTATGGTTCCTTAAAAAAAACAACCCCAAAACAACCCCAAAGACCCCACCAACAAAATCCCATCAAACTAAAATAAAAAACCAAAACCAAATAAACAAAACAACAAAGCAAGCCTATAGCTGGGAAAGAGAAACATATGAAGTGTGTGAGTGGGTTAAAATCATGTTTCCAGAAAGTTTGGATTTGTATAAATGTTAAACTGTAATTTGCTTTTCCTTTAGATATTGTAGAAGGAATGGTGAACAAAGGAATTTACGTCACTGAAAAGAAAGGTGTTACCTTTCTCTTCTTTGGAAGCTATCAAAATTCTTGCATTAGTAATCCGGAAGTTTGTGGACCTGAAGGTGAGTAAATTAATTAATTACTATTTGCTTTTCTTTTGCTGTCAAAATATGTAATTCAATAATCATTGTTTCTTTCCTCATTGGAATCAAATTCTAGCTTGACACTTTTTTCCTGTCTTTTAAAACAGTTGAGTTGTTTGATGAAAATTTAATCTTTTCTAACTGCAGTTTAAATTAAAACTAATCACGAACTACTCAGATCAATGACATATGGTATAATCAATTCGAACAAAAACAGAAATAAGCTTACAGTGTCCAAAATGTTACCTGTGTCACCAAGATTAATTCCTACAAGAACTGCATTCTGACAAAGAAGTCCTACAAGTTTCAAATTTAGGAGACAGTTTTTCAGTGTGGCCTCTTAGCAGGAATTTTGGGGGTTTTTTGTTGTTTTTTTTTCCATTTATCTTTGAAGATAACAAAATTTTTAAGTCTCTGGTGTCTTGGAATCCATTTGTTCTCATAGGTGCTTAAATATCTTAGTTCTATTTCTTTCCCCTTTCTTCTTTTTGAGCTAGGGTTACAAAATGATAGATGGAATATGGGAGCACAAATAGTGTGTTGATTACAGAAGATTATTAAACCTGTATATGATTGTCATACCAAATGTACAACTAGTCACTAGCATAAAACATTCACTGGAGATTTAAAATTCAGTAGAAATGAAGGATCAATGGAAAATGGTGGCTTTCTATACATAAACTCCAGCAGTCCCTAAGCTTAAGCAGTATTGTTAACATTGAATTTTCTTGTTTTTATTGATTGAGGCCATTCTTCAAATGGGTAACATTACTTGAAATAGGATTTATTTTTTTTTTAACTGCTATGGCAAGAGTTGTATATTAACTTTTTAAGAAAGTAGGAGAAACTTGGAGAGCAGATGGTACATGGCTATTAAGTGAGAGTATTAAAAAAAGTAATTCAGTATCCTACAGTAGGCAAATTTTCTGATACGTGCTGTATCTTTTAATACTTTTTTCAAACCACTGGGAAATAAAAATCATCAGTAAGTCATTTTATTTCTACATCTATAGTATAATATAATAATCAGAATAAATTATTTTTATAGTACCAGAGCACTCCTAGTATCTCACAAACAAGAACATTAAAAACATAAAACACTGAAATGTTCAGCAGATAAAATGTGAAGAACAGGAATCATACAAACAATAAACACTAAATCACTGTAGCAGATACTAAAAAAAAAAGAAAAGAAAAAGAAAAAAAACAACACCCCTTTATCTAAAAAGAATGTCTTTGTTTTTCTCTGAATCAGATGAAACCTGTGGCAATGATAAAATGTAATTTTATTCAAGCTTACTATTGTTTAAACATCCCTTGATGTTTGTTGGTTGCATTTGTGTCAAACTCGTGTTAAGTACACTTAAGCAGGGAATGCTTTCTGAAACGATCTTGGCATCTTTTCAGATGAAGTATTCCAAACCCTGAAACAAAAATCCCAATATTTTTTCCTAGCCTAAATTTAATAACATTTCAGAACTATTATTTTGACTTGAGAAAACAAATTCTTCTTGTGTTTTAAATGTTGAAACATTCTTCCCCCACCTTCCTTCTTTCTCAAGTAATTTTTAAACAATGGTTTTCTGTAAGCAGTTTTGGGCTCATTAAAGTGGCATTTTCAGTCAAAAGAAACATTTGTAAAGATGCAAGAGAATGTTCTCTTAATCATTAGTTTCAACACAGTAGGAGAAGTTGGATTTAGTCAACATATACAAAGTTTAAATAAAAAAAAAATAAATTAAACAGCAGCCCTATGCACAACATAGCATTTCTGAAGCTGTGTGTTTGTTGTGTGCCTTACTTTAATTTTTATTTCTGGTTCTGGCATTTAATGAATGAAAGTGGTCATAAGGAGGATTTAGATCCACAGTTTTCATATGGCTGCAGGATGATCCGTAGCTACAGGGTAGTCCAGTAGGATAGACAGTCAAAGATGGGGGGAGACCAGCTCCACTGCAGACTTGCTGTATAACTTAGTCTTTCTGTCTAAATCATTTAAGCTTCATCTCTCAACCTGTAAAGAAGGAATAACAGTACTTCCATACCTTTCAGAAGGTATACCTTTCCTTTGACAGGGGAATTGCATTAACAGCAGTAAGAGATTAACACGGTCAACCCTGGTGGCCCTTGCACCAGGGTGGTGAAGGATGATGAGCAGATCCAAGGGAGATGAATGGCTTTCTGGAAAGGGTTGGAACAGTGTTTCAGCCTGTTATGGGTGTGGTAAAGAAGCTGAAATATGAACTCAGGCTTATCTGCTGATGGAAGTATTATAACTTGCTTACAACAGACCTCAAATTCTTTAGTTTGGAGTTCACAGCATTGATAGCTTTAAACACATATCCATCAATATCTGGCAAACTGAGACTGATGATCTTCATATACTAATTGATTTCTAGGAGGCCAATGATTATCAATTAGCATTTCCATGATGGTTATTTTATCATGTATAAAGCATTTAGGGAATAGTGTGTAGATTATGTAGATTGGTGGGTGCTATCATAAGGATAACCAGAAAGATCAGTTAGACATAAAGATACTACATAGTTAAATTATTTATTGAGCAGTAACATTATTTTTAACTTTTCTGCTAAGTTAATGTGACAAAAAGAATATGTGAAATATAAAATATTTATGTTCTAGAGGGCAGTTGGGGGGAATATTTCTGATGACTCTAGTGAGCTGCCTGAGGCTTTTCCATCTTTAATCATAAAATTATGAAAGATATATAAAAATTACAGTTTTAACAAGAAATGTACATAATAGTTTGAAGGCTTCATTAACTTGTGCTGGGCTATCTGGTAGCAAATTGTCAAAGGTCACACTGCCTGGGTGACCTGCAGAACTGCTAACTATAAAATCATCCAGACAGATATTTTAACTACATGTCAAAAGCCCATAGTCAGCAGGTTAAGGGAAGTGATTATTCCCCTCTGTTCAGTGCTCTTGAGAGTGTATCTGAAGTACTATGTCCCATTTTTGTCCCTTGATACAAAAGAGATGCTGACAAGCCAGAGTGAGTCCAGCAGATGACTTAAGGAGCTGGACAAAATGACTTGTAAGGGGGAGGCTGAGACTTTGCCTTACACCGCGAAGAAAAAAGAATGCTAAGGGCTGTCATCAGCTGCCTAATGGTTGATTATAGAAGCAGGTGGAGCTGAATAATCTTGGAGATGCACAATGAAAATGTGACAGGCAACACAAGCATCTTGTAGCACAAGAAATGCTGATTAAATCTAAGGAAAAAAGTTTCTTTGCAATGTGAGTGGCCAAGCATCAGGATGGTTTTCACAGAGAGGCTGTGCAATCTACATCCGTGGTGACACTAAAATTTCAGCTGAGCTCTGAGCAGAGAGATCTAGCTCTGAAATTGACCCTGCTTTGAGCAGACAGTTTAGACTAGGTGATCTTCAGGGTCCTTTCCAACTTAGTTCATTATTATCCTTTGTGGTAAAACCTCTTCTGTTTCTGTACTTCATAAACTTTTTCTCAACCTGCTCAGACCTCAGATTTTATTGTTAGCACTTTGTACTATAAATTCTGAGATGAACATTTTTAGGAGCTGTTTAGTTGAACCATTTTCTTTATAACTGCGTTTGACTGCAGAACCTCTACAGCAGAGCCGTTACGAACTTGAAGTGCAAGGGAGGTTTGATTTGCTACTTGTGTTTCAGTCAAGCCTTTTGAGGTAACCTTTATTAAAGAAACAAGCTATCTTAGAGAAATCATATTTCTTCACTAATGTGCAATCTGAAAAGCTCTTCAATTTTGCAGTATAATAGTAAAATTTACTGTGAAGTGAACAGGATTACTTGTGGACAAAGTTAATCACATATGCACTCGCAAGACTGTGCTTGCATTTTGGGAAGAATTCTTTGTTTTTTAGGTAGGTGTAGATTTTTGACTGTGGCTCTGCGTATGTCACTGTCCCTTTCTTTTACATTAGTTCTCTGCTTTCAGCAATTACTGGAGCACTGAAGTGTGAAAACACAGGTAATAACATGCTTAGAAGAATTAAACTGTAGATAGCAATGGATTCTACTCAATAAGCATGGGCATGCTGGCAGCCAGTTAGTGCATTGGTAGCTTGGAAGCAATCAGTGTATTATTTCTGGCTCTGATAGCATTTGGTGAACATCAAAAAAGAATGTAGATGCTCCTGGAGGATATGGAGATATGAGAGCATATTGTGTTGTGAAATAAGTGAAGATCACAGGAGAAAAAGGGGATCATCATGGGGGGATGAGAAGGGTAAGGAAACTGGAAAGTTGAGACAAAGGGGATGGAAATATAAGTCAGTAAGAAAAAAAGGACTTTTTGATGCTCAAAAAACTTTAGTTTTAACTGATAGAAGCACTCAGGAAGCAATGGTTACTACTATGTCCTGGGTTTGCACGTGTGATGTGAAACCAGGGAAGAGATATTTATTTGGTTTAAACTGTTAGAGCATTGTTGATTTTAAAAATGCTGTCCTTGTTTATGCTAGTAGATGATCTGTCCTCAAAAGCATTCCCACTCCTTGTATGCTACAGTATTGGAAATTTTGAATTGCACTTGTTTGTTTTCATTAAAATCTCCTCTCACTTGCTTTCATCAGGCGTAACATTTTCCTTTTTCTGGAAGACTCAAGACCAGCAGGCTAAGTTTCTCCCTGCATCTGGTGGACAAGTAATTTCCAGTGGTTTCAAAATCTGTTCAAATGAAGGTGAAGGCTCAGTGGAGTTTTACACCCGTGGGAATGCAATGATGAAGTGGAAAGCAAGCTTTAGCCCACCAGGTAAAGTTTATAATTTTTTTAAATTCATTTTTTGGGGTTATATTTTACTTTATTCTTGCAGAGAGATGTAGTGGTGAGAGCACAACTTCAGGAAAGAGAAGTGGATATATAAAAATAGCTACAGAGCTCTGTGCTTAAGAAATCTCTTGATGTGGGGAGAGATAAAGTATGAACTGAAAAAACAGTGATATCGTATAACAGAGCATTTGCCATTCAGTAACAGTCCTTGGACCCAACTTCCAGTTGTTTCTGAAGTGGAATTCTTATTGACATCAGTAGATTAGTAAGTGCTTAGATGGAAACATGAGTGAAGAATGCAGGTTAATCCCTGACAGTTCCCAGTATATTCTAAAACTGGATACGTGTGCTGTCCTCTACTGCCTCCTAAATTAAGATTTTATTTGGTAACTATCTAATTGGGTGTTTAGTGCTTTGGTCATTTTCTTATCTGTTGAGTGTCAAGTTTTTTATGCCATGGCATGGTATTAATAATTTTTGTATATCACATATCTTACTGCTTCTATCTAAACTATGTATTACTGGGGAGTGGTATCACCTAGTGAACTGGAACAAATTCTAGTCTTCTAGTAATACCAATAATAATCACTAAATCTTTTCTTGCCTTTATTTGGCTACCTGTACATTGGTAAAATAGCACTTTCCCACCTTGTCATATCAGAGTTTTATAAAAATTAATACATCACTTTAGAAATCTTATTTTAAGAGAAAAACTGCTAAATGGCAAGAATAGTTTGTGCATTTGTGGATTATCCAATCCAAGTGAAAATTAATATTATATTTTCAGCCTCTCAAGTATAACAAAGAAACTGTGACAATTTTTAATTAGTCTATTTGCTTGTTCTCCAGTTCTTACAGTCTTTATGCAGTTCTTGCTGACCTGAGTTTTGAGACAGTATTGAAGAGACTTCCAATCTTGGCCAATAATATTTAGCAAGTGTAATTTATGAAACTGCAGTGAGCCCAAGTAAGAGTTCAGACAAAAGCTAACAGGAATTCTGCCAATATATGGGCTTCCCCATGGGTATAAAGATTAATATACATGACATCAGAATTCCATAATTCACTCTTAGCACTTCCTATACAGCTCTGGAGCACTGCACAAGTCAGCAAAAACTTACTGAACAGGACAGACTCTAAATGCAATTGATTAATGGATTTTTCTGTGACTTTTAATGTTTTGCAGGTCCTTATTGGACTCATATTCTCTTTACTTGGAAATCAAGAGAAGGACTGAAAGTCTATGTCAATGGAACTCTAAACACAACCGATCCAGATGGGAAAGTTTTCTATGATTATGGAGACCCCAGTGCAAATCTACTGACTGGGACAGAGGGGGATCAGACTAAGCGCTATGTCAATGGGGCATTTGATGAATTCATTATATGGGAAAGGGCACTCACCCCCAATGAAATTGAGCAGTACTTTACAGCTGCTATTGGTGAGTATATGCACTATTGTCATAATTAATCTTCGGTAAAGATGCTGACTTAAAAATGTTTAGTGTGTAGGATTTGTGTTCATTTACATCTTTCAGCTGTTGAACGTAATTTGTAGAGGCAGAATAAGTCAGGTGTGAATGTCACCAAAATACTCAGCTCTTTTTGGATATATACAGTCTTTTCATTCTGTGTTCTAGCTCCTTGGAAATGTCCTAAAAAGTTACCAAGACCTGAAGTATTCAGCCATTGTTAGATCCCCTAAGATCAAGAGAAGAAGAACAATAATTAGACTTGAGGCAGAACAGTATTAGGAAAGACTGACTCCAGATTTCTAACTTACACTCTAGTTGTTGTGCAAGTTAGAGCCGAGTCACTCAGTGTGTTCCAGCAGATGTGGATAATAATGGTTATCTCTCCAGTTCCTGGAACAATAAAGACTTATTAACTCATGTATGCTTGTGAACCAAAAAGAAAGATATCAGCTGAAATGTAATATAAAAGTAAAAGAATTGGCATTAGAACAAAGATTTAGAAGACTGGCCAGTAAACTCTGACAGTTGTTCTATGGATCTTTGTACTAAACTTTTCACCACAAGAAAGGCTGTTGCTATTAAGTGCTTGTGTGTGAGTAGCAATTAGAAAACATCCATCTCGGGAATAAAGCTATGGGGCATCTGGAACATTTGGCTTTGCTGGCAGTTTCCCTGCTTTCATTTATTCTTACTAGATTACTGAGAGCTAAAGCAGTTACACCCTTAACTCTTGTGCTTTTAAACCCCTGGGGACCATTTTCACAATGGAAACTCTTTGAATAACACAGAACTTCTGGTGTGTGCCTGGAAATGAGAATGTATGTGTTTGTGGCTTTCAGCTTTGATTATAGCAATCAAATACATACAAAATATATTTTATCAAAAAGAAAATATAAACTAGTTTATGTAGAATTGAAGTCACTGAAGAAGAACACCCTCCATCTGGTATATAATGAAGCAATCTATATGCTTTACCACACAAATAATAGCAATTGCACTCATTTTTTTTTATTTTGAAACCTTTTTATTTTAAAAGTTATTCCAATGAAAGTCTTCAAAAATTCTGATTTGAAGACTATTCATTTGATACACGAAATAGTTCTAAAATCTAAAAAAAGTTTTATTAACTTTATAATGTTCTGATCATGTTGGAAAAAATGCTTTTGTATTTGACTGTTGTATCTTTCATAACAATCTAGGGTTACTATAACACTATCTGACTCAAAGCTACCATAAATCACATTCTTTGATTTAGTGTAACACAGGAAGAATGTTATGTTGCTAAACTCAAGAGCAGTAGATTTTCAGATTGAGCTGGTCATCTATATGTGTGCCTTTTTTCACTGTCAGAGAAGTATGACTTATATAAATACACGGAGAACTATTTTTAACCCCTTAAATGCTTATGAACTCACAGCAACCATCCTCTGGAGTCCTCCAACCTCCCATCTTTGCTCTCACAAATAATCAAGGCATCATGGAAAGCTCTTTCCACAAATGCAAACCCTCTTCAGGCCTTAAGTTTCTACTTTTTTCCTCTATACTTTGGTTTGGAAAGAGTCATCTTGGGGCTCAAAATAGCTGGTTGCTGGACATTAATGCTGGTAGCTAGCATTTGAAACACTGCAGAAAGGGTTGGGCCTTCAGATCCTGCCGAAATCTAAACTTTTAGAGTTCTACAGAATGTTGTCTGTATCCTACCTTTCAGTCCCTGCTGATTTTTAGAAGGCTGTATAGCAAACTCCCTGATTTATACATTGAGGTGTTCATGCTGTGAGCTTTTGTGAGTTTACTGCAATTTAGGTGTTTGGTGTGTTGGTATTTTTTGTTTGTTTGTTTTTTCCCTTAAACATCTATTTCACAAGTTTTCAGGGTCATCTGGAACTGTCAGTATTCTGTGAAAAATAAATTTCTAGCCTCTTAATTGACAGTGAAGTTTGATGTCTATTTTCTAGGGGCTTAGGAATTAAAACGTAAAGGGATGCCTGGTATACAATTTTTTTTTAAGTGTGAAGAATTTCAAGCCAATATTATTTTAAAGTGCTCAGGTGGTTTGGGGCACTTAAGAAATGTGGAGTATTGGATTCTTTGCTTTTTCCTTTGAAGTAGTGGACCAATCAGATTTTATAAAATTTCCAATGTGATGGATGAAGTTAGAAAATTCTCAGAGGAAGCAATGGATATTACAATACTAATCAATATAGTAAACAAAAGTTATTCTTGGTATCTCTTTATTGACTTTTAAGGACTTAAAGCAGGGTTGAAGCTGGGCTAATGTGGTTTGACATAAGAAACTTAATAGGACAGCCTGTTTTTTAATTGAATTAATAATTATATTCCTTTTGGATCCATGAGAAAAATATGTCCTATACATGCAACTGCTGTTTGATTTTGCTGAAATACCATACTCCTGGCAAATATAAAATCTCGGTAAAACATAGATTACAAGAAAATTTTATTTCCCTAACACAAATGACCAATAAATCCCTTTGCACAAAAAGGTATCAATACTTTTAAAATGGAGGAGCTGGAAACCAGCCAAAATTGTGTTTATTCTTTCTTTCTCAACAAATCTTTTATGACATGTTCATATGGTAATTTTCAATGGGTATTATGCTAGTGGATGACATTTATTAGTAAAGCCTGTCTGATTAATAGCAACCTCACTGTTGCTTGAAATCAATTTACAAACACCTAATAGAGACATTATATATAATATGCTCAAACGACTAATGAAGGTTGTTTTTATTCCTTAATCCCTGCTGCTTGTTTTGTGTAAAACATCATGCCCCAAAAGCTTTAGTACACCACCATTCCTACTAGTGTTCTTTTATTTGAGGGTGCCTTAGTTTTGCTGCAAGCAACAGAAGTATTTCCATTGGCTTTGAATATTTCTTACTGATTTTTTTTTAATGTAGAAAAGTCTGTCTGAACTTCATGAGTGTGATTTTCTTTGACACTCAAGCAATTTAAAGTCAAGATATAGATAAACAGCATTTGGAGATCATAGCTGAGACAGAAGTCATGTTTATTCCAGTGTCTGTGTGTTCCCAGTCCCAGATTATCACATGTACAGAAATACAACAAAGTTGTATATGAAATTGTCAGAAGTGCCTACAGTTAATTACTCATTTCTGATAAGACATAGGATTTTTTTTCCCCCTAAATACTTTGCATAAATGTTGGGGGAAGAGGTAGAAAAGGAAGATGGATGCCAATGTTTTAATTGTACAGTTGTCATTTTTTTGATTGAGGTATAACACTTGAAATTTCTTGTTTGTAAACAAAGTGTTTAAAACTTAGACTAAATTGCAAGGCTTATCTATATAAAGATGACTAAATAAAATTGATGAATGAATCAGTAAATGAAATGCTTTAAACAAGCCTGTATAGCTACAGTACTGCAAATAAGCAAAACGTGCAGAACAGCAAATATGTGATTTCCAGTTAGAACTGGTTCAACCTGCAGTGGGAATATGCAATTTGTTAATGCTCTCATTTTTGTGTGTGTATTTCCCTAGGTGTGCAGGTTTTGCTTTCTTCAACGCTTCCATGGTCTGTGATGACAACCACTACAAAACCTGTGGTAGGACAGTCCTCATAACTCTTTTCTATCATGTCAGAATGTGTATATGTTACAGAGTTACAGACCCTCCTCAATTTACAGTTTTTATTAGTGGCTCTTATTTTAGTATCCCAATTATAAACAATTTCAGATATGCATAAGGATAATATTTAGCAACTGTGGGAAGATGGGAGTGCTACAGAACACTTAATGTAAGACAGATAAAGGGAATTCATTGTTAAATAAAAATAGCTTCTGTATTAAAAAAGGCAAAAAAAAAAAGTAGAAACTTCTGAAATATGTCAATGAACTTTGAAGATATAAGATATTAAAAACCATTTTGCTACTTTTCCTTGTTTCCTTTAAAATGAGGAAAAATATTCCCACCACAGTAACAAAATTATTTAGCTCTTTAGTAAATGCTTAATGACAAAGATTTAAATAAGATTAATTTTTCATACGCTAATACATACAATTAACTGTAATCAGCCTACATGAGATCAGCTATTGCAGTGTATGTTCACTTTCTTGCTATCTGTAGTGTCAAAGTTCTATTAGTTTTCTCGCTGTTCAGAGACTTTTGGGAAACCATGGTAAATAGGACCTGAATTGCTAATGGAAAAACGAAGCTGTGCCTGTATATTCTGTTTATCCTCTGTTTATCTGTATACTTTCCTTTTCCCTTGGCTTAATGTAGCCTCCTGTGTGTAATCACAGCAGTTTACAATGCCTCGAACTCCCTTTTGGGCTAAAACAATAAATAATGACTGCTGTTTAGAATAACTTCTGATCAGTTGTCTCTCACCTGTAGCTCTCTACAAACGCCTACAGTCCCATCATAACTCATCTGACTGAGGAGAGAGGGAATTTCCACTCCCCTGACACCATGCTGGGCTACCTGGAGAATGTGTCCTTCAGCCTGCCCAACAAATCCTTGTCAGAAAATACTGCTCTAAGCCTGTCAGAGGTAAATGTCTTTCACATCTATGCGTGGAGCCAGATGACCCTGCAATTTCTCCAGAAGCTGCAATAGAAAATGCAGCTTTGAAAGTTTTTGCTGGTTGCAGAAAATACATATGAAAAAAGCAGTAGCTATTTTAGGGAGCAGCAGAAGGTGACCTTCAACAAGAGAGAATAGTTTAAAGATTCCATTAGTTCTTGGGGATATTATTTTATTATTTAACACATAAATTATAAATACCTTGAACTATGACCATACATCAAACTTAATTATTTAGCTGAGCATGAAACAGAGGAGGAGGAAAATAACTTGTTAATTAATCAACTGCAAGTATATCTGATGAAGAATATGGAGTTCTGGAAAAAAATTCAGCATTTCTCTGCATGGCCCAGCTGATCCCAAATGCAGCAGAGTTTGACAGTTGTCTGTCAGGTGCAGACATAAAGACACTGTAGTGACAGCAGCAAAATGGAGGCATGCATCAGCTAATAGCTAACTAATTTGGGTGCAGGAGCACTCTAGTTGTGGCTCTATCAGCCTGTCCCCAGGTAATTGCCCAAGTATAAACTTGTAATTTACTATCTTTGAGATTCAGTCTTGCACTAGAGAGTTAAAAATTTATCAATTACTGCTGTCTGCCCAACCTTTTGTTAGCATTTATTGCTCCTGTAGTAAACAGAAGACAAGTTGTGCCTCTCCTCCAGCTTCTCTGTTACGAAGTCCTGCATTGTTCTTGCTGGACCATGCTCTGCCAACTCTGCATTGGAGGTGAAAGCTGTGGGAGAGGACCTGTTTGTGATGATGGTGTCTTCAGCTTTTGTGAGTAAATAGCTTTATCTTGCACTGGGTTCCAAAAAAAAAAGGTGTTTTCTGCTGTCTGAGCTGAGGGCAAGGGGTCATGTTCTGCTAACATAAAGTTAGCCTGCTGTAAAATGATGGGCATCTAATTCCCTGATTTCAGCAGGCTAGAAAGCTATTATTACAGTAATCAGGTCTGGCCTCACTAGTGATTGTTCCTTTAAGCCTGTAGGTAATACCAGAGTGACAAGGATTATTTACTCAGACAAAAAATATAAATAAATGCTTATGAAAACTACATGGACAGCAATTGATAGTTTGTGTTAAAAGCTTAGCATTTGCAAACTGTAAAGCTTGGATTTTATGGATCACAATTTAATATGTAGCAAAAACCATTCTAAAAAGCTCTAATACATTGTTTCCTTTGTTTTGCTGAAAATTTTATGTGGACTCTAAATTGAAAATGGAACATCATCCTGTCAGATATCATACCTGTTTCCCACATCATTTCAGTTGCCATTTGATTGCTCATTCAGGCTATCTGATGCTGCTTTGTGTGCTGTGAAAGTGATTTGCAGACAGAAATGTGGGACATGATTATCTTTAGCAAAGCTATTTTGGGAAGTAAACACAAGAGAGTCTAATCATACATACGGACTCTGTCATTTGTCTGATTGATGGTTAGACTTTGTATTGTCTGCAGCTAATTCCCTGAAAGACAGGCACTGAGCATGCATGCTATTTTCTGTAAAGTTATCTCTGTCCTGATTGTCATATGCCTCACAGCACAAGAAAATTTGATTTAAGTGATATGCAATAAACTTTCTGATTACTGACACTCATTTATAATGCATTGCTCCTGACAAACCTGATGTGTTTTCTGTTATAATGCTGCTCTGCTCAGTAGCTCCAGCACTCCTCCTCCTTTCCCTCCCTTTCCAGTGCTCTAACACATCCTTTTTGGACTAGTTCTGGAGTGATGCTTTGACCTGAAAAGAGATACTCACAGAATGCTCTGGGCAATTTGGGCTGGGTCCTGGGTTTAGAGTAACTTCTGTGAATGCCAGGTACAATTCCACACTGAATATTTGAGAGAGACTGCAAGGTTTGTGCTGCCCAAAAGTAAACTCATGTAGCAAAGCTCTGGTTCTGCCCTGTATATTATGACTTGTAAAATTATGCTCAGAAAAGTCTTGCAGCTTTCTTCCACATTTCTCAGTGGAACTTTTCTGTATTCAGTTCATGCTTTTAAGACATTTTAACAGAGAAGTTTAAGCAGCAGATGTGGGTTTTCTCTTTAATTTTCTGTGTGATTTTCTGTGCTCCCTTTTCTCTTCCTTCTATTTGTCTTCTTCAGCAAGACTCCTTAGGACAGGGACTGTATAGTGCTGAGCACTTGAACAGTGCCCACCCTGTTAGACCTTGACCTCAAAAATAACCTGTAAGTGCAAAAGTTAAGCAGATAATAAATTGTACAAGTGATGAGACCCAGATATTTATCTAGTGCTGTTGAAATATCTAGTAATATAAGACTAAAAGAGGTGTTAATGTCATATGAGTTTAGATAAGATGGGAGAATAAGTTCCCTTTAATCTTAGTTCCAGTGTTGTCACCTCAGCTGTAGTATAATGATTGCACTTTGGGAGTTTCACAGTGGTGTTATTCTTACTAAATAAACTATTACTTTAAAATGTCACCATACACAACATGATGAGAGTGCTGGCAGGTAGAGATGAATCTGTGATTTGAATGAAAATGGACTTGTTTTCTTAAAATAAACCTAAGAAAACCCTAACAGAGATCTGCCTTGGATCCTTACCAGAAGATGTAGCTGATTAATAAATAATCAAATAATATAATGTTATTTATCTTTTAGGCATTTTTAAAAGCTATCGAAGACTTTCTGTTATTGCCCAACTGGATTGATGTACCAGAGGTAAGACAAATGGGCTTAGATTTGTAGGTTACTTGGGTTGCATAATTTCACATGGATAGTCATGAAACTGGTTGCCTCTATTATTCTACTTGTTAGGATTTTTTGGCAGTGTTAACTTATTTATCTTCTCATATATCATTTTCATATTTGCAGTAAAGATGCACACAAAACAATCATGCCATTTTCTTTTGTAATTTTTTTTGAGGGTTAAGATAAGGGAAATTTATCTGCTGCTGTTTCCACCTATTTCAGGGTGAATGAAACAAAATTGTGTTTATAAAATAACAGATACTCTCACTAAAGAAAGTGTTTAATAACTCTTTTTTTAGCCCTGAATGTTGATATTTGAAAGTTTAGATTTGTTTTGTAGATTGATGTGTTTCAATGCATGTGAAATATGTGGAAGTGCTGACCTGTTTAGTGAACTAAAGCTTTGAGACAGATTAAACCTAATATAGGGAAAAGTAACTTGTGTCAATGTTTGCCTTCTAGTCTACCTTTTACCATGCAGAGAAATACTTGCAGGAGGAATTCAGGAATTTCCTGAGATTTTTGTTTGAATCTTAAAGCAGCACAGATTTCAGAGCAGAGAGCTTTTAAACTGAGACGAGAGGCTAAAGTAAATTAAGGTTTTACTGAAGCCTAAAATGCTTTTAAGTCAAAAAGGTGTCTAACTGATTGAAGTTCTTAGCCTAACATCCTTGATCATCTCTGATGTAAACAGATTTCAGATAAAATAGATTTCTTTTTCATTGAAAAGTACATTCACTCTGAGATTTTATGGATCAAGTTTCAACCTGGAGAGTTGTTTTTTTGGGGGACACCTAAACACTTTGAAAGTAGCTTTATACTGGAGACCACTTTAATAAAGATGAAAGAAAGGTCAAACTGTAGTGTCTCAGCTTATGTTCCAATAAAAATCTGATACTAATCTTTATATATTGTCAAAATAATCTGCTCAGCTCTTGGCTTTGTTCTGCTGAATCCTGAGTATAACTGACTGTCAAATGCTGGTGAGAGCAGAGAGTCATTTGGAGACATTCTATAAAACATCATAGTATTTTATAAGGTCAGGCTCTGGATAGCATCAATTTGTGTAACATTTTGTCCACTGTATGTGGAAAAGGTTGTGGAGAAAGTCACATTTGACTTTGGATGGTTGAATATTGAGTGACATCAGAATTTAACATGACGCCTTGGCATTTTGTGCTATGAACTGCAATTTCTTTTGTTGTAGAGCTTTCTCTTTCTTCTCCCCCTTAGACTGCTCACGTATTTGGAAATTTAATTCAAACTATTGACAGTGTGATGGCTCATATGACACGCAATTTGGATGAAAATTTATTGCCTTTAACTGTTGAAGGCACATCATCTGTGGCAGGTAGGATTTAACAGAAATGTTCTCTCTGGGCTGTCTGGATGTCCTAAACGCTTCTGTGCTTGCAGCCCCGCCTTTGCCATCATGAAGGAGGAACTCAAAACAGATAACTTTTTTTTTTTTTTTTTTAAATACAAATCAGTGTTTCAGGTGTAGAAAGATGACCTGCAGTTAGTCCAGAGGTAATCAGCTATGATTGAACTTGAATTTCCTTGAGTTTATCTGGGGAGGGGTTTAGAATATGAATTCTGTGAAATTAATCTAACAATACTATAGTAAACTATTAGGCAGTGAAAGGGCCTAGAGCTCTTATGCAGCACTTTGAAACTGCAGATGTCGGGAAGATACAAAACCTTAATTTTACAAGTTTTTTGCAAGAGATTGCAAATAATAGAAATAGTTTTGACCTTTTAGGAGAATTTTATTTTACTGCTGTTTAGCATCCTAGCGCTCTAATTGTATCTGTGTCTCTGGATGCTACAGGTAGCAAAGGTTATTTATCTGTTCTGGCATTCTACACTGCTTTGTTGAGACCTGTGTGAGAGGACAAATAACCTGAGCAGTCACCAGTACCATTAATCATTGCATGTACTCTCTTGGACATTGGCATTTTCCAGCAGAGCAGTGGAGGTCTGAAATAATGCCTTCAAATGTCAGTGGAAGAGTGTGTTATCAATCTGTTTTACTTGGCCTGGTAAGCTCAGTATTTGAGCATGGGTGAAGTGATCCGTGGTATAGTAACTGTGTGTACCACCTTCTCTGTCATAAAGGAGTCGGATATAAAAGGTGATTTTATACTCTGGGAATTTACTGTATTTTCTGCAAACATCTCAGGCTTTAAATTCAAGACTTGCAACAGCTATTAGGAAAGTCTAGTTAAATAGCCAAGTAGATTGTAGAGGCAATTGATTTTATCATGTTTTTGTTTGGGTTATTGCACAGATTACACCTTGGTCAAAATGCATCCTCGGACTCTGAATTTGTCCCACTATCGATTTCCATCTCGAGGACGGAGTTATATTTCCATTCCCAGTGAAGCTTTTCATGAAAAAGGTAAGGAAAAATTTAAAGGGAGGAGCACAGTTATGCAAACAGAGTAGCCAACAATGATTTTACTTGAAAACAAGTCGTAGATTGCTTTATTTTTCCAAATAACCAGTTTGATCACTGTTGATCATACTGGCTCTAAAGAAGCAGCAGTTTTCCTGTCATACTAATGAATGATTAATGTGGTAGAATTTTAGATATTATTTAATCTTGAATAATACAGCTGGACCACAGAGACTGAAACCATTTAATTTTGACATCTTTTTACATCAGATAAACCATAATTTAATAATTATCTGAACTGGTTATTTTTAAGAAATTCCAGGATGTCAGATCAGGTATTACTTATCCCTTCATGCAAAATCACTCTTAAAATGTTGTATGACATTAAACTATGAAATGACAGATTTAAACAACAGCAGCTACAGAAACAGCATGAAGATGTAAACTGCAAAAAAAGCAGCAGAACACAGAAACCTATCTGGGCTAAAATTTTAATAATCTCAAAAGCAAGGTATGGCAAAAATTGGAAGCTTTAGCTAAGACTCTAAAATAACAATGTTTGAAGTTGATTATCTGTGTTTTAATCGGGGATTGAAGGAACCTATTTACAAAAACATCTACCTGCATCCTCGAATCTCTGAAAATCTGACCTATGTGCCCTAAATTCCAACCCACAAAATTTACACACCCAGAGACCTTTCCACAGTCACCTCTGTTGAAGGAAGGTTGGTTCCTATTCAAAAAGTTCAAAGTTAGCTGCAAATAACCTGCAGTGATAAATACTCTAATAATTACTGAACTGCCTACCTGATTTGTGATGACAGCTTTGTTTCTCTGCACTGGCAGGGGGTCTGGCTGGAGACTTCACTGCAAGTACTCTGAAGTTTGACTAACTATAATTGCAAACCAACTTGTAATGCCAAAAATAGCATGTGAGGGGACTTTTTTTCCTTTCCCACTTGTAAAGTCTCTCACCATGCAGATTTATTTTTTTTTTTTCCTTCAGAACACTATCATGCATGGTATCCTGAAATGATTCAGCCCATTAAATGTTTAACTCTCTTTCCAGCTAAAGCTCACTTCTGAGTAATTTCAGCCTTTGAGCCACACTGCCACACTGTCCAAATGAGCTAACCTAAAAGTTTATTATTCCTTCTTAAAAAGTTTACAATATAAATACTTGGAACCCAGCAAATGGGATAGTGAAAGACAGCTGTGTGGCTGACACCTAGAAAATACACATCTGTCTCTTCACTCAGATGCTGGAGAACCCATAAATACTTGGAACACAGGCAGCAAACAGACAACCAAAGTGGAAACTGGTTGCCCATGTCTGAATTTCATAAACTGCCAGTTAATGTATGTGGTGGTGAAGTAGTCTTGAGATTACTGTAGCTACCATGGAGACACTGACTCTGGTATGTCATGCAACCTTTTCTAGTGCTATGTGGGGGATTTATAATTGACAACTGATTACTTGAACAACTTACTTTGGCAGCACAGCTGTGCAGGGCAGGCATCCTTCTGTTTTACTTTTGTTACCTGTCTCCTGTGCTGTACTGCAAGATGTTCATACTTTTTCACTTAATTAAAAGAGCAATCATAAACCTGCTAAAGCAAAGATATGAAAGTCTACAGAACTCAAGGCATTCTGTATAAACACGGAGTTTCAGGTCTAGGAGAGAAGTGTCTCTTGCTTACAACTGTTGCTCTGAGGAATAACCCCTGTTCCTTTTTCACAGCTTGGATTACCATTGTTGGCCTGCTTTACCATAACATGCATTATTTCTTTCATAATATCAACCCTATGGATACCAAGTAAGTATCTCAGACCTCTCATGTTTTGACAGCTTGTTTATTACCTTAGTGATAAACCTTTATAACAGTCATGTCATTATCAACTGTAAATAAATTATGTGTCATAATTCTGATTCTGCAATATTGGGGACATGTAGTCATTAACTATAGAGAGATTAAAGCTTACATTAGATATTTTATTTTATGTTGCAGTAAAATAGATTCCCGTAGCAACATGTTTGTCTTTCTTTGTCTTCTCTTTCCATTTGTCTGATCGGATATTAGAATTTCATAATTTTAATCTGTCTCATAAAAGGAAATTACATCTTTTCTCCTGACACATATAAAGATAAAGCTTGCACTTAAATGAAACAAGTAAGAAAACATAACATCCCTCTTTAGATAAAATCTCAATCCTAGTCCTAGAAACCTGTAAGGTAATTTTATAGCAGGAGACCAGGCAATGCTTTAAAGACCTTTTATTTTATGTGCTACATCAATGAAATCATTAGCAGATAAGATAAAGTAAATGCAGAGCTGTATACCTCTCAGCAATACAGTTCCCCAGGGAATTTTGCAAGGCCATTCATGTAAATCATTACACTTTCCTTTTAACCGAGTCTGACTTTATGTTTTTATGTGATCTTCATGGGGGTACGTAGATTAGTTTACAATGTGTCTCAGTCTTTTCTAGTCTGTGACTTTTTGTTGTGTTGTTTATGACACCAGAAGGAAAGATGCAGCATCTAAGCTGTCATGAATGTCAGGGATTGCCTTCCTTTCTTTACAGGGAAGGTCATGATCACGGGAACTCATTTGTGAACTTCAGGGTAAAGAATCCTGGCTTATAATCAAATTGATCACACTGAGATAATCACACAGCTATTACTAAATAGCATTTTTAAATCAAGCAATAAGCTATACTGTTGTTTACCCTGCTCTCTCTCTCTCTCAAAAAAAGAGCACTTAGCAGGTGGCTGTAAAGGAACCATGTCGTTAGTGTGCAATATTTCTTACTGACACGAAGAAATAGAGACACTAATTTATGACAGCTTATGTTTTTCAAACAGGAGGATCAGTGCAATTTATTAAGATAGTAACCTATAATCTTAGCTTCTCAAAGAGAGAAAAAGAATTAATATGGTCTTGACTTAGATCACAGCTTAGCAAACACAATGTGATTAAAGATGCTGTGTCTCAAAACACTGTATTCTAATGCATTGTCATAGAGTCTACAGCTCCTGGGCCTCTGATATAGCATAATAAAACAGTTATGTCATCTTTGTGTACATTTGCTGAATTTTGTGGAGTAGGACAACCTGGAGAACCATTCCTGTTCCACTGACTTGTATGTATTTTTTAGCACTTGTTTTTGAGAAGGAAGGGTCTCGCCCTGCTGCAATGTTAGGGAAACACAAAGACACTGGAGAAGAAACATCTCCTAGCTTTCTGTAATTAATCCAAACTACTTGAGCTGTTTGCAGTATGTAATGCACTATAGAATCACACCTATAAAATTCTAGATGCAGATCTGTCCAAAACAGCATCTAAAAGAATTAGTAATACAAGGAATGCTAGCTTAGCAATTTTCCTCTGTGGAATCAAACCCCAGGTATCCAAAAAATGTTTTGAAAATAAGTATGCACTTCTCTTCTGCTTAGTTTTCTTTTTTTGTGCTGTACTATTATAACTTTTTTTGCTTACAATTCAGTAGAATAACAAAGTTTTCCCAGAGTAGTTTGTTTTAAAGACTTTCTTTTATGTTACTTCTAGCACTGGGCTACTTGAACACCTGTAATTTGAAGCCTGTCCATTTTCTTCTTAAGGACATTTTTTTTTTCTTTTGTGGTAGAAAGCTAAAACCAAAACACTTGGAGCTTTTGTGCTGTACAGACAGATGACTTCTGTTTTCAGACTACGTAAACAGCAGTTTCTAAGAGGAGTCAGTTTTGATTCTTTAAAAAAAATCTAAACAAAAAAAGGTTTTGAGCTCAATTCTACTCCACTCATATACAGTTTGTGTAAACCTGTAGTAATCCCACTGGTTACAGGGGATACTGGAAGTGGAAGTAACCTCTGGTGCTGATATTTTTTGTGGTCAGAGCTAAGGACTTGGGGTTGTGCTAAATGAGTTCTGTTTTATTTGACCTTGCTGAGGAACTGAATGTTTATTTTAATGTCTGATATGACTTTTTTTTTTTTTTTCTGAAAAATAAGAAACCATTTCAAATGGGTGTCAGATGAAAATAAGTGTTTTTTAATGTGCTTTACAAACTGGATCTTTCCAGTGGTGTGCTATGTTTGGAAACCCACACTGCTGGTTAATTCGCCATGGCTCATATTTCTTATAGTAAATACCATCCATTCACATACTGAAGAGATAGGAGACAGAGATCATTTTACTCCTGCACAGTTTGTTACTGATAGTGTAAAAAACCTTTACCCTACAGCCAAATGTATCTTGGTTACTCCTAAATGTGTGAAAATGCCAAAGTCATAAGTTTTAGCTGAAAGCAGAAATAAAAGTGTTCTTATGTACTGCAAAATTACTTCAGCCGAGAAAAAAGTTTTACCTGAACTAATCAGATGTTTAGTCAGGTTCAGCTGTTTGTATTGGGACCTGACTTACTCTCTAACAAACATAACTGGACATAATCAATTTTGAGAAGTAAAGCTATAAATTACTTCTAAATATATTCCTATGCATGTGTTTATATTATATGCATTATAAATAATATAAGCATATGTGTCTTACACTCTAGTATATATGTTTAATTAGCCTGGAACCCCTGCAAGTTTTCTCCTCACTTAAGTTGCTTTGCTTACGTAGATTATTTTTTAGATCCCTTTGTAGGATTCTCTCTAATTAAGAGAGCAAGGCTTTTAAACTTTTGCAAAAGAGGAGCAGAATGAAGGAATGCTTTAGATATCAAGTCTCCTAATTTCTAAAGCTGTTATCTATATTTTGTAGCTGTTGCTTCTAGTCCTGTAGGATTTTTTGGGCCAGATCTTGCTCCCCTATAGAAATTCATTGGCTTGAATGTGAAAAAGGAGGTCCTGTGTTCCTGCTGTTGTGGATGAACTAAAATAATTTTGTTGTTCTACTTCCTTAATATATTTGTTTCTTTCCAAGGATTGCTGAAGCTGCTGTCTACAAAGGTTATACGATCTCAGCAGCCAGTTATCTTATCTCTATCAAAGTGGAACCTTTACCCAAGTTGTCCAACAATCTGTCAGGATCTCCACTTATTACCATCCAGCTCACTCACAAATTGGTAAGTGAAATGGAAACTACTAGTTTAGGCTCTTTTCAGGGCTGTTCAAAACTTTGGTGTCTGTGATGACTGCTTTGAATTTATCTTGTAATTTTTGTGGGCATTTTTAGTAGCAATTCAGATGACATTTGTGATTACAATATTATATTTTGCCAACCATTGCACATCAATGACTACTGTTTTTGTCCTGCAAAAGGCTGATGAGTGCACAATACTGAAAAAAAAAGGTGAAATGACAAATATAGCTTTAGGCCTTTTTGTATGTATTGTTCTGTGAATGTTCTATGGATCATACAATAGGATGGTATGAATTGCTGCTTTCTCATTAGAGCTGTCAAAAATTAGAACTCATTTATGGTTTTTGCTTTTGGTCTTAATCCACACTGAGCTAACTGAAGTGTTTTGAAAGCTCTCATGAATAAACCCGGAGAAGGATCTCCTCCAAGGGCAGGCACAAGTATGATGGTCAGAGCATCCTTTGGAATAGGCATGCTGTTTAAATCCCTGTTCTAGTCTGAACTGCCCTTTCTAGAGAGCAGAGCATTCTGAATCTGAGAAATAAAACAAAAAACCATGAGAATCTGCGAAAACTTGGAGACAAGTTTTATTCAAACTGATCATTTTTGGTAAGGCATTTAAATTTCACCAAATTAGCATGTGCCAGGAAGAAACTGGAAAAATAGCTGGCTTTGTTCTCAGAGAAAAAGGTGTCTCTTTGTCTTGTTAGTGGGAGGGAGAATAAGTCGAAACTCTGAGGTGCTGGCATGAGGTGTGCAGCATCTATGACCCACTTACAGCATGGAATGGAAAAGGAAAAGGAAAGATTTCAATTCTTAAATGTTTATTAGAAACCATCTCTTAGATGTTCTTCTGAATATTTTATCGTATTTTTCTTTCAATGGCTGTTTTCAAGCCAGTTTATCTTCTTCCTGTTGGGTTTCTGATAAAGATGGACTGGCTACAGAAAACAAACATATGAAAAAGCCCTAAGGCATGGAAATGAAAAGTGGTGTTTTGCTGACAGTTTTTCAAACTAAGGACTCTCCAGAATGTCCCTAGTGGCCTCTTAGAGACAGACACTTGCAAAGAGAAGACTGTATTTTGTGTAGATAATTTATAAAATGTGTACTTTGCTTTCTTTATTCAGGTACCTCCTCCTGCTTAGTATGATGATTTGCTAGCAGGCTGTTAAACAAACCTGTGTTTGATTTTTTATTTTCTTTATGCCAGTTGACTTTCACTGTGAAGATCACTGGGATCTTGGTATACGGGTAGAAAGTTTACATTTATCATCTGTCTCTTTCTCTGTTTTAGTCAGCAGAATCCATGAGAATGCGGTATTGAAAATTATACAAAAATATCACAAATCAACTAACTCCTTCAGCATGTGTGTGGGGGGAATGATGTGAAGACTGATGATAGTTTGCAGCTAAATAAGGCTTAATCTCAACCTGTCCAAATGTTTTGTAGTGAAGCAACAGTACATTTTGTAAAATTATTATCCTCAAAAAAATTCTGTTTTTAGCAAGATGTTTTTCACAGCAGCAGCAGCTAGAGAAGAGCTAACATTTCACTTATGTGATCCAAGAAATTACAGCACAGGGTAGACATTTAGAAGAGATTAATATCAAGGCTGAAATGCATATACAACATGCTCTGGCAAGTGTCGGAAGAGGCAACAGAGGGAGAAACGGCGTAAAACTGCACCAATATTTTGCAAAATCCATATGACTCTGTAGCATAAACCTTGATATTTCACCACACTGAAGTCACTTTTTGACACTGTTTTGGGGACAAAGTAGCTATAAATTCTTGTCCTTCCTGACAAGGCAGCTGACTGTCTTTCAGCACATAGAAATACCAGCTTGATATAAATCCAAGCATATTTTTTGCAGAGGGGGTAAAGGACTGACTAAGGTGATGGGACGAAAGGGGAGCATTAATACCCTGGATGATACACCAAAGCACACT